TACGGGCCGGACCACCTCTCGCGCGGCATCTGGGAGCTCAGAGTTTGGAGGACGTCTCAGGCGAAACGGGCCCGACCACCTCTCGTGCGGCATCTCGGGGCTCAGAATTTAGAGTATGTCTCAAGCGAAACGGGCTGGACCACCTCTTGCGCGGCGTCTGGGAACTCAGAGTTTGGAGGATGTCTCATGCGAAACGCTCAATCCCGGACAACTAAGAAACGAGAGTTGCGAGGATGTCTCAGGCGAAACGGCCCGGATCACAAAATTTGTTTGAGGACGTCTCTGCTTTGAATTCCCTCGGCCGGACTTAGCTTCTATCACAACAGCACCCCGTTCAGCAAGCTGTTTGGGGAAAAACACACAATCCGAGCAACCTCCTCTTCGTCGTCATCGTCGTCCTCCTCCTCCTTCACCTTTTTCTTCATCGGTAGGAGGGATCAAGCATTTCGCCTGAGACGTCCTCGCCGTGAAATGATTCGGATCATGACGATTGACATTTGCAACAGTCACACGGATGAAGGGGCTTCCTCCTCTTCGTCTTATTCGTCTTGAGCACAAATGGTTAGAACGCCCTTGAAACCCTCGGCACCCTGGCGACCTGTGATTACACATACCCCCCATCATAAATATCTAAAATCCATTGCTCCTCCGCCTTCCCCCTTGGATTTGCTTGTGGGCCCGCCTGACGTCGGAGCCCATTCGGCTACTTCGATAAGGCCCATTCGGCTGCCAAGCGGGCTAAATCCCAACCGCTCCAAGACAATAATTCAGCTTACTCGGCTGCCCACTCGGGCGGAAGAATGGACCCAGGAGCTGGAACGGATCAGAAGGGAGCACCACGGGCCGTGGAGAAAACCCCGAAGAACTCCAAATGCATCACACAAACAGCGAATTCTACACGTAATCCTTTTCACCGAAGAAAAAAACACGCCATAAACACAAACTGTTGGCGCTCCGCGCGGATTTCTTGGATCTGCGCTGGACCCCCTTCCCTGGCGCGCGGAGCGCGCCAGGGGCGGCGCCGGAGGCGCCGCGTGAGGCCCAGCGCGGATCCAAGAGATCCGCACGGCGCGCCGAAAATTAATGTTTATTCCGCTTTCCTTTTCGAGTAATATTATTCAATGATTCAGAGGTCCGCGCGGAGTTCGTGGACCGGCCACGGGCCTCCCTCCCTGAACAAATTTCCCCAGCCAAGGGCGGCGCCGGGGGTGCTGCCCAGGGAAATGGGGGAGGGTCCGGATCGGGCCTCGTACATGTATGCTCACGCCGTGTGTCTAGATGCCTCCTAGATGGGTTTCGATTAGATGGAGTCGGAGGATCGCGCCGCATCGCCAATACATCGCCAATACTTCTGCGACGACGCCGACGCATCCACGACGTCGGCAGAGAGAAAATCGGACCCCACATCGAGCCGCATCGCCGATGCATCGGCGATGCGGCGCAATCCTCCGACCCCATCTGGGAGGCCTAGAGTGTCTGGTGGACCTGCGAGACTTGGAGATGGATTTGGCCTGCCCCCGAGACTTGGATTTGACCTGCCCCCGCTTTGGCAAAGAAGTCGGCCCTTCCAGGAAAAAACGATAGAAACCTCCGAACCCTCGGAAAACACGCGGACCTGTAGAAGCGCTTCCAGTTCGCCGTGAGCAGGCGTCCACCTGAACACTGGTCTCCCTGACCTGCCCTAGCAGAGCCTTGAAACTTGCCTCCACGCACTCTCATGCTTACTGCTGCCTAATGCTAGGTCGCGGCTCCATGGATTACCCTCGTTCAAGGTCGATAGGTGATCGGGAGCAACTTCTGTTGGCCCCCAGGGGGGCACTCTGAAAGCCTGGAGAATGGCCTGGCGGCCGACCAGTGGTACCGTGTGGCACCTCCCGCTTAGACCTCCAAACTGGGCCCGGACTGGTCAGCCCTGGGCCCACAACTCCACGTTTGACCCCCCGCATCGGGCGAGCTCTAGGATTCCGGTCGCCTGGCCAGATCCGTCCGAAGAAAGCGCTTATGCCACTCAAGGTGAGTGGCCCCCTATGAAGGCACTGACAAAGGCTGCGGGACAGGGCTGAGGCTCGCTGGCGGGAGCTATGGCACTCCGTGCACACGCCCCAGCGTGTCAGAGTCGGGAAATCTTTCGCAGATTCCTTGAAGCTTTCGCGATGCTCGAGGGCACTTCCTGGCAATGGATGCGATGCCTCGGGGGTGTCCCCCCGCTTACTGCCACATCTTCACATTCGTCGGAATCATGACCAAGAATGCCGTTGGCCTGCTTGGAGCACTGGCAACGATCATTATCAGTGAAACCGTGCTCGACCTTTCCAGCAGGCGGCCAGACCCAGCTTGCCATAAAAGCTCGCATTGTCCCCTTGCGCACAGGATCTCTGGCCGAGTTCACCCCAAGCCTGAAAGCCCGACCGCGGACATTCTCAGTCCCGTGCGCCTCAGGAATCGCTGTCACAACTTGCTGCGTTCGGGCTCTCGCGATGCCTTCTCTCAGCTGCAACCTGATGCCGAGCAGTTGACTCTCACAAAAGATCTAGCACCTCGCCCGGGGCCGTTTGGATCAAGTGTCGCCCTACCGGCTGCCAACCTGATATTTGCGAGCTTAGGCAAACGGCGCCCACGGGCCCTCGGGCCAGGCCCCACAGGGGCCTCTGCTGAAGCAACGTACTGACCTGGACCCAGGCCTTCCTCAAATCGGAGTTTCCAACCCTTCTGTCCCAGACCCAACGGCAACACTTAAAAAACAACTGGGGCCATGACGTCCACGACTGGGTCGTAGCTGTGATCCTCATGAGTGCTAAGGTGGGGAGTGGCCTGAACTGCGGTACCAACCCGCATCCGTTTGCGCAATTTTACACCACGTGGGCGCAGCCGAGAGGCCGCGCATTTTTTTGTTCTATTTTTTTTTTTGTTGTTTCCCCCCCGCTTGCGGTCCATCTCACAAACCGTGCCGGGGAGTCGACAGGCAACCCTGCCGCAGGACCGTCATCGCCCTTGCCTCCCGAGTGAGACCTGCGGTCGGAAAGGATGCGTCTGGGGGCCATGCTACCCAGACGCGAAAGCAGCACAACAAGACGTGGTGAGGATGAGGGGGAGGAAGGCCCGGGAGGAGGACGAGAGGGGGGAGAAGAGGAAAAACACCCAAAAGCAGATGATACGAATTCGCCCTAAAACGTATCGCGCCCGAGCTTGGAAGCGAGTTGTGTGCCCAACCCTACCGAATGACCCAAACGGCCAAATCAATAACTCTCACACAACTGGCAAGAAGAGAAACAGGAGGACGAGAAAAGAAAAGAGGAGGGAGACGACGAGGGCGGAGAAGGATGAAACAGAACAGACCACCTGCACAGCGCCTCCCGCCGAGAC